TCATCATAGTGGGTAGATACAACCACTAGTTCTGCCATCTGTTGTTCACTACTTAATGCTATCAAGCTTCAATCCTCTGAATCAATGGAATGGAGGAGCCCTTTAGTGATTTATTTGTTCTATGAAAGAAATAGAAGCATTTGGCCTAATCCTAATACTCCGAATCAAGGACCAATACTAGAAAAGAGAAGCTACTCATTTTAGATCTGCAACTTGAAGATATGTACTTTCTGAGTATGTAGCATGCATTGTAAAATAAAAAACTATTGAATTCGAGAAAGAGTTGCAAATTATTATCATTGAAGGAGTGGAAGAACTATTAAGTTCTTAAAAAAATTATTCTAGGAGATGGCTCTAGTAATTTGCAATTAAGATACCAAATTTTATAACTATCTTATAAAAAATTTGTAATTCATTCTCCAAATTTTAGGTGAAAGAACTATTAAATTATTAAACTTGTAAAGCTACCAAATTATTTTAAGACAACGATTCAGTAATTTGCAATTTAGATACCAAATTTTGCAATGTCATTATGCATAATTTGCAACTCCTTCTCGAAATTTTGAGTGAAAGAACTAATTCTTAAAGTTATTATTCTAGAATATAGCTCCAATAATTTGCAACTCAAATACCAAATTTTGCAACTTTCTTATGAATAATTTGCAACTCTTTCTCGAAACTTTGGTTAGAAGAACTATTGAATTATTAAACTTACAAAGTTATCAAATTATTTTAGGACAATGCTCTAGTAATTTGCAACTCAGATACCAAATTTTGCAACTCCTTCTCAAAATTTTGAATGGAAGAGCTATTAAATTCTTAAAGTTATTATTCTAGGAGATGGCTCCAGTAATGTATAACTGAGATATCAAATTTTACAACTTCTCTAAGTTTAATTTGCAACCTCTTCTCAAAATTTTTAAATTTAGTAATTTACAATTGAGATACTAAAATTTTGAAAAGAAGTTGTAAGTTATTCACAAAAAAATTGTAAAATTTGATATCTCAATTGTAAATTACTGGAGCCATCTCTTAGAATAATTTTTTTAAGAATTTAATAGTCACTCCTTTCAGTGATAATAATTTGCAACTCTTTCTTGAATTCAATAGTTTTTTATTTTACAATACATGCTACACGCTCAGAAAGTGCATATCTTTAAGTTACAGATCTAAAATAAGTAGCTTCTCTTTTCTAATATTGGTCCTTGATTTAAGGCATTAGGATTAGGCCTAGTGTTTCTATTTCTTTCATAAAACAAATAAATCACTGAAGAGCACCTCTATTTCATCGATTTAAAGGATTGAAGCCTAATAGCACTAGGTAGCACACAATGGATGATGGAACAAGTGGTTGCATCCACCCACTGTGATGACAGAGAAGGATATGTCAGAATAAGGAATAAGGGCACACTACTATTTTTAAAAGGGACGTATTTAGGTTCAAGACTCGGGAGCATGGTTTTTTGAAAGAACATCATAATAGTGGTGCACAATTAGAATTTTTTATAAGGGCAATTGAGTATTTTTGCTTATTAGTTATGATCACTGAAGGACCACAGGACTCATGTGGAGTTTTTGAATCTTTTAGGATTTATCTTGTGTATAAATTACTTCCTTTAAGACTTCATTGTGATTTTCTCAAAACCATTAAGTTGGTGAGCTTTGAAAGACGTTCTCAATGTTATTGGATGGAAGCTTGGAAAATAGTTTCATATGGTGTTTTGCCTTTAAAAGAATAAAAGAAATAAAATTTAAAATAAAATAAAATAAATGTTGATAGTTCGAGTATGTTTAAGCTCATGGCTAAGTTTCAGTATGTTGAAGAAAATGAATGAAATAACTCAAAATAAATAGAAATGATACAATAAATGAGCATGGGTTGGTGAACGGCCAACCGTTCAGTTGGTTTGTAAATAAATAAATAAACAAATAATGAATGGATAAAAAGAATTAGTGAGAATGATGGAGGAGACTTCAACATGAAATAAAATAATATATGACAAATAGAAGGGGAAGAAGGTGGTTTCTAGTTGCAGGTTCATGTAGAGTCCTTTTAAATGCCATTGTTTATGGGACCTAGTTTAGATGTTTATCACGATGAGCATTATATTGCTGTAATGAAATTTGAATCATTTAAATTTTAATTTAAATAGTTTAAATTTAAATAATTATGATATATTTTTATTTTTATATTTATTAAAATAAAAATTCATAAAAACTAAAATAATTGTAATAAATTTTTTATTTTTAATATATTTTAGATTTAATTTAAAAATTCTAATTTAATATTAAAATTTTTATAATTTTTATATATTAACTATACAAATGTATTTTGCATAATTCAGATTTAATCTAGTGTTACTTTAACCTGTACAAAGTATATTTGAATAGTTAATATATATATTAATTATAAAAATTTAATATTAAATCATACTTTTTAAATTAAATCTAAACCATCTTAAAAATAAAAAATTATTTTATAATTTTTATATATTTTTATTTTAATAAATATAAGATATAATAATTTTTTAAATCTAAATGATTTTGATTTTATTACAGATGAGCATCCAAGTTTATTTATGAGTCATTTCATTGAAATCTTGTGGCCCCACCTTTTTTTTTTAAATTGGGTAGGAAGACAATTATCTAATATACCCACTCATCTACTCATATTTACACTCCTTCCCCATGAAAAGGAAACTCACACACCCTCCCACGAATTGCCCATTTTTGGCTCGAACCGGCACCTTGCTTGTTAGTGGGGCATTGGTGCTATTGCGGGACGAGGCCATTGGCTCGAGCCTTGCTTCTATTTTATATTTTAGTACCCATTTGAATTTTAATTACGTATAATAAATTATAAAAATAATTAATTAAGTGATAGATTTTAATCATAATTAATTATATTATAACTAAATTTGTTTGGATACTGTATTTTAAAATTGATTTTAATAAAATTGAAGTTGTTTGGATAATTTAATCAGAATTAATTTTAACTATATAAATTACTATATAATTTAATTCTTAAATATCAAATATTAATTTTTTGAGGATACAAAGTTTGAATTTTATCAAAAAAAATAATAAAAAGAATTTAATTTTATTTTTATTAAATTATGTGCTTTTTTTTGTAACTTTTTTTTGAGCATTTCTTTATAATTTTTTTCAACATTTTTTGAAAAACTTTTGGTAGAGGCTCATCGATAGCTTTCCAAAATAATCGATTTTAACTAAAAAATTCAATTATGGGTTGTTTCAGGTGCTTGGATAATAGCTCAAAAAAATTGATTTTTTGAGTCAAAAAATCGATTTTTTGAATATACGCGTGTCCAAGCAGACACTTAATGTCTTGAAAATGGCCTTGTCTTTCCATTCCAATCCCTCACATGCTTGGCAGGAAATTGTTCTTAAAGATCAACCTATATTCCTCTTAATCTTAACTACTTTACATTAGTGATTAGAAATGATTTGTATCGTTAAAGTTAAAATATATTTTTAATTTTCTAATTTTATATAAAATTTTTAATTTTATAAAGTGTCTTTTTAATTCTTTAATCTTAACATTGTTAATTTTAAATGATTTTTTTTATGTCACTCATTGTTATCCTAAAAAAAATTAACTTAATATGTTAACATTTAAAAATATTTTATCAATATTTGATAGTTCAATGTAAAATTTATTAGGATAAGACTAACAATGTTAATATTAAAAAATTAAAAAAATACTTTATAAAATTAAGGAACTAAAATAAAACGTTATGTAAAGTTAAAGAACTAAATGTATACTTTAATCTATTGTTGAAATGATAAAAATTATCACTGCTCTTTAAAATTATTTTTTAATTAAAAGTAGTCTATCTTAATTACTTTTAATTTATTTTTTTATATAATCTTTCTTTACAATAAAATCAATGATGGCATTTGTGAAAAAGAAAATTTAAGGTCATTAACTTTTTGTAAAGTATCATTTTTTTTTGAACCAGGTAGAAAATATCTTATAATGTATACCGAGAGAAGTATAAAGTAAGAAAATATAAGGTATGAATAATGATAATAATGTTTAGGTTTCCTTAACTCCAAAGGTGTAAATTGGATTTGGTCCCCTTACTTCATGTTTTAGTTTCCATTTGACCCCTCCAATTATTAGCGCCAGGATTTGTGACTGCTTGAGTTCAGTCTTAATTCCTTAATTATAAACGTGGGGCAAAAATAACTAATTTCTACTTATCAAAGAATGGTAATTTATATCCTTGATCTTGTGAAAAGGACAATATTTACGCTTTTTGGCTCTTCAATAAAATAAATAACCATAGTTAAAAACGATGTACTAATAAGTAATAACACACTGCAATTAATTATCAGAAACTCAATTCTCACAGAGCATTATGAGACCAACAGCAAAATGAAGGAAGGGAATGATTGAAAAAAATATATATGAATATTATATGTTGCTCTATATTTTAAACAAAACAATGTTTCTAAGAATTGCTTTATAACATGTATTTATTAATATGAATTTCGTTTAGTAGAAAAGATTTTCTCATAATATGATAAATTAATATTTAAATTTTTATTAAAAAAAGTATCTAATATTCAACCACATCTCAAACAATATTGCGTTTGTTAGTAAGACACTTGTGTATAATTAAAAATGTTATATTATCCTTAAGTTAAACTCATATATGATTAGATGGTAGTGATAAATATTAGACAATTTATAATCAAAATCAAAACATCTTTATAGTAGTAGTATTAGTAAGATTAAGTTGTTGTAGCTTATTTTAAAAGAATTAATATCAATAATCAATATGAAAGTGCCAAGTTTGAATAATATTTCTCCTTGCTGCCAAAAAAAATCAACATAGTAAGTGTTTTTGAAGAGGAGAAGGTTGGCATATGCATGGTTGATCACATGGATGCAAAAGCGGAAAACCAAAATTGGGATTAGCATTGGACAAGTAGGTAGAACGGAGGGCTGGAGAGAAATTAAACGAAGTATGGTGGTTCATTGGTGTGGTCTTGTTCATCAGTCTGGCCAGTTAGTTCTCCTACCCCAACGGTACGCATTTAATATACCCCACCCTTCATAGCCCTGAACCACCGTTTCTCACTCTCATTGTGATTTTGCTCTCTTTCTCTCCCTCGCTCCTTCCCATTCAGGTAACCCAACGTTTCCCTTTCTTTTTTTCCCCTTTCGCTTATTTCTTCTATAATCCCAAGTTTCCTCAATAATTCACATCTTCTTTGATAATCAAAGTTGGCCTGTTCGTTTCTTGCTCCCCCAGCTTTTCGGGGTTTCTGGATTCAATATTGCTTCTCTGAAAATTGCAACCTGTACATGGGCTTTAGTTTTGAAAACTTTTTGGAACTTCCGGTGCTTCCTATTGTGGCCTATTTCGTTAAGATTTATATCCGGCGTAGCTTGTATTTCCGCTGCCTCGTTCATTGGGGTTGTGAATCTTTTAATTGTATTCTTTATTTCCAGCCGCTGCTTCTCAGGGATCTTGCGTAGAACCGTCCACAGATCGACTGAGATTGTTGCTAACACTGCTTCGTTAAGCGGGACTGTTTTGGATTGAGGATGAAGGTCTCAGTGGTTTTGCGGGGTGGAAGAGAAATCCTTAAAGGAGGCCTTGATCTCAGTGATTCGGTATGCCGCCTTGTTCCCAATTTTACCCCTCTTGCATGTTACCTTTTTAGTTGTGAGCGAAATGGGTGTTGTAATTTCTTAGTTGAAATTCATTTATTCAACCCTCAGTACTTCCTTTCTTGTAGATTTTTAAATGCACACAACTTTCCGAAGTTACCGTTCATGATTTCTCTCATTGTTGCTTTGTTATAGGCGACTGTAGCAGATCTCCAGGAGGCAATTCATAAGCGAAGTGAGTGAACCATGTGCTTTTTCTTTGTTAATTCTGCACATAAAATTGGATCGACTTATTCATTTCATATTTTGTTGTCGTTATCTGAAAAGTTTAAGCCTATAAGGCTTGAGATGTCACCTAAATTGTTCTTTGCTTTTTCCATGGATAGTTTTTGTGATGGCCATAGACCATTAAATTTATAACTTATCTGGTGCATTCTGTGTGATGATAAACTTCACTACGTGTGCTGGCCTGATAAATCTGTTGCTATTTCACTGTTCTTTCTAAAATTACCTTTGAAATTCAAGTTGAAATATTTCTTCTTCTAAAATTTAAATGATGGTAAAAGATTGTTGAGTTTATATTATTACTCAAATAGATACCAGTTTTGAAGTTCCTTTGGTCGTGCGGGAGAAAGTTGAATGAAGTCCTCTTACCTAATATACACGACTAAGAGGTTTTGATGTCATTTACAAGATCTACAAGGCTATTTCTAGATTTTGAACTAGCCTGTCTTTAATTATGGACTATCAAAATGTCAACTTTGGAACCTGAAGCTAATTCATTGCGTTTCATTTCTGCTGCTATCAATATACTTTGTGGCCTTTGCTACTCCATCTTAACATCTCTCTTGGGAAAAAATATGTTAATCTTTCAATGTATCAGTGTCTAGGTCCAGTAGCATTGGATAATTAACATGATTCATATGTTTCATATTAACAGCCAAGAAGTACTACCCATCAAGGCAGCGCCTCACCCTCCCTGTCCAACCAGGATCTAAGGAAAGGCCTGTTGTCCTTAGTTACAAGAAAAGTCTTAAAGACTATACAGATGGAAATTCAAACAACTTAACTGTAGTTTTCAAGGACTTAGGCCCTCAAGTTTCATATCGCACACTTTTCTTCTGGGAGTATTTGGGTCCTTTGGTCCTCTACCCAATGTTCTACTACTTCCCTGTCTATGAATATTTTGGATATAAAGGGGAAAGAGTCATCCACCCTGTGCAGACTTATGCCATGTACTATTGGTGTTTCCATTACTTCAAACGTATTATGGAAACATTTTTTGTCCATCGTTTCAGCCATGCAACCTCTCCCCTTTCAAACGTGTTTCGTAACTGTGCTTATTACTGGACATTTGGCTGTTATATTGCTTACTATGTGAACCATCCTCTCTACACCCCTGTAAGTGATCTTCAAATGAAGATAGGGTTTGGGTTTGGGATCCTCTGCCAAGTTTCGAATTTCTATTGCCATATTTTGCTGAGGAATCTTCGTCGGCCTGAAGGGGATGGTGGATATCAAATCCCACACGGTTTTCTTTTCAACATTGTTACCTGTGCAAATTATACAACAGAGATCTATCAGTGGCTGGGCTTCAACATTGCAACGCAGACTGTCGCAGGTTATGTTTTCCTTGTGGTTGCTGCCGGTATCATGACCAATTGGGCCCTTGCAAAGCACAGGCGTTTGAGGAAGGTCAGTCTCCCATGCTCATTGTCATGATAATTTGTGAGAGCAAATTATACATAGTTTACCTGAATGCACTTGCTTACTATGAAATATGGACGCTTAAACAGAGAGAGAGGCGTTTGTGTTCAAGGCATGCTAAATATGATGCAACACTAAGAAAAAAGATTACTGCACTCCTTAAGTTTATGTGTGTTCTTGTGTCCGTCTCCATGTTCTGCAGTCTGCACATTTACGTGTCGGTGTTTGTATGTATTAACCTACCTGTGAAGGATCTATAGCTGAATATACTTGAGTATAATATCGTAAAGCAATTTTAAAAATTAAAAGTAATTTCATGTCTGTATTTTAAAAGAAAAAGGTAATAAAAAATATTAACAGTTGAACAATGATTATGAAGACATAACAGATATAGCCAAAAAAAGAAGAAAAAGAAAAGAAAAGAAAATCCTTTTCTTTCATTTTATGGAAGGGGGCGAGGGTCAGATGTTTAGTTGTCGAGTATGCTAAGCGTATAGATCAAAGTGACGTATAGGATGAAGCTTTGTCGCATCCCATCAGTGGACCAAAAAGACATTTCCCCCTTTAAATAATTGTTTAGTCTTTGCGTATTATTTTACATATAGATTACATCTGATCTTTGATGTTGCCTGTAGCTATTTGATGGAAAGGAAGGAAGGCCCAGGTATCCTCGTCGATGGGTAATATTGCCTCCATTCCTGTAGAAGCCATGGCCATTAATGAGGCCATTAATGAGGCCATTGCTTCTTGTTGCTCATCTGGATGCAGAAGTCTAGATTTGTTGCATGTTGAAGTTACTAGTTGTCAGACATGAATTTTCTCAGTTTCTCATTAAATTTTATATATGAAGTTGGCTCAATTTGTTAGAAGTTTTTATTTGTTTGGCTTATTCTTCAGAAAAAAATTGTAATAATTTTCAGATCAAGCTAGTGGGTATTTTAGTTGTTGTGTTGTGCTGATCATGATTTGAGGCTGTTGTTTAGCTTATTAGCTGTCTGGTGGGCTATCCTCTTGACTGGGAAAATGAACCTCTTGGGCCCATGCATTCTTGGCTTAGGATTGATCCTTTGTTCTCATACTGTCAGTTTTCTTTCTCTCCATTCATGGTTGCAGTTCTGTAATCAGCTCTCTCTCTCTCTCTCTCTCTCTCTCTCTCTCTCTCTCTCTCTCTCTCTCTCTCTCTCTCTGTGTGTGGCACACATGCACACATCTCATACATAGCGCATCCCCTTTACCACCACTCATATTTCATATGCACCCACAATCATTTTGTCCGCTTGTAGTTTGAGAAATGTCAATCTGTTTTGGATATTTTGCGTTGATCGCTTCTTATACTTGCACCCTGGGTAATGGATCATGTTCAATTGGCTAATCTTAATCAATGCTTACTTGGCATTCCCTGCTGTTGACACCTCAGAGTTATCATAATTTAATTTAGGGAAAACATAATTTTAAATTCCTGTACTTTGTTTGAGTTTTGTTATAGGTATTTACATTTTTTTTTTCAGTATTCTAGATCATCACATTTCTGTTTTTCAGTGTTCTATATCTTTTTATAAGTGGTGTTATAAGTACCTATAGCATCAAAAAACAAAAATGTAAGAGATCTAAAATATTGAAAAAAATATATGAATTTATAGCAAAATTTAAGTAAAATTTAGGAATTCAAAATTATGTTTTCTTTTTAATTTAGTTACTTCAAGTAATTTTTTAAGAAATTCATGTGCAAGTTACTTTTTTTATTTTTTGCCAAATACTCTAATTTCTTTTCCAAATACTATATAACCTTACTATTAAATATTTCTTGGAATTAAACAATCATTACTAATGAAACTTGGTGTTTGACATATACTATGACTTGAAGCAAACATGATTAAAGTTGGTGTTTGAATTATTAATGCAAATACTTTTTTAGAAAGTCTAATAATATAATGCTGTTATTAATCTGAAGTGCTGAATGATTGAAATTCGAACGCCCTACATGATCTGAAATCCTGATATGGGTCTGGCTCCTGCCAATGAGATTTGTTTCAAAAATGACGACAAACTCCCATTATAAGGAATTGACCCCACCCTATCTTTTATTGCAACGTGGTCGGACGAATGAAATCTATGAGACATTTCATATTTTTTTAAAAAAATATTAATAAGATGAGTCTTCTTAGCCCAAAATATGAAATGAAACTTTGTTCAATAGGATCAGCATGCATATGCTGAAAGTAGCTCGACAACAAAATATCACACCAAAACACTCAAATGCCAATGGAAATATCTTTCGGAGTCACTGCCATCACCATGTGACCTTTGGGTGCAACTTGCAAGCGCCCCGGGGTGATCCTTGCAGTAAAATTGTTGATATGTGCTCATAAAAAAAGATCAAGGAATTACGAAATAAATGAAAATTAACTTGAGGTTATACTTGACTGCTAGCATTATTTTTCTGATAAAATATTATTCTTATTTATCGTTGACGATAAAAAAAAAAAGTAGATCTATAGTTGAAGAATCATGTGCTCAAGCTTGGACTCTTCAAAAGTCATGCATAGGACATCTAAATTCGGCAGATCCACGCTCTCTTTCACAGTTCTATTATTTATCTGTATTTTTTTTTTCTTGCGTACAGAACAGATAATGCTTTTAAAATTACAACTTTTTTTTTAAAAAAATATTTTGGCCAACAAAAGGTAATAAAAAACATAAGAAATTTTTTAAAAAATAAAATATAATCAATACGTTTCCATCTTTCATTGTGTTGCTTTACATTTACACAACCAGCTTTTCGTTAAAGTTATAATTTTTAGGTAGAATAATATTGGGTGCCTTCCAAGAGAATTTCTAATATTTTGACAACTGTCAAATTTATTTGCATATCAAGGAGAATAACATTTGCATATAATTAATAAATAAAAAGACTTTAACGCATTATTATTCTCTCGTTGAATGCCATCACTTCCACCTGTACTATTGAAGCAATTTAAACATTTTAATTTTTATTTTAAGTTTAATATTTCATTTAAAGATTTTATTTGCAAAGCGAAAAACACTATGAAAATATTTTTAGATAAAATATAAAATCCAAATTTCTTGAATCACAGTCAAATTGTTCCAAGAGGGAACAGGAAATTTCGATATTTTGTTAGACCAATATTATTCTCTCTCTTTTGCATCATTTTACGTTTTTCTTTTGGGTGATGATATATTAAAAATACCTCATTTAATTTCCCAAGTCGAACTCAAGAGTCAAGACATGGATGATGAAAGCAAATTGCCCTCAACACTAAATCATGGGTTCACTTGGAATCATTTTCGTTCAAGAGAAAATGAGTCATATTTAAATAAAGAGGATATATAATTTCATCAAAATATACAAAATATTCATAATTTTGAAAAGGGTCATTTTTAGATAGCAAGCATGAGTTTACAAGTAAATGAAATATTCATATATAATCTACACACATGATCCAATAAAATAGGCTTACTAAAGCACCAATTTCATGGAGGGTTTTTTTTTTTTTTCCTTTTAATTCAGAATATTGTTGTTCCATGCTTAAAAAGAGTAGAGAAAGAAAAAATTTAACCGAATCAACTCGTCCAAAACTCTTGACCAGATCAGTCAAAGATCAATTCATTAATTCACTAATATCATCGGTAAGCTTCGGTTATGTTTCAATATTATGAAAAAAATTAGATTGTTCACTAAAAAAAAAAAAGTTAGATTGTCGCTTTACAAAGAGTAATTATAAATATGAACAGGAAATTTATAATAAAATGCAAAGCATGAATCATTCCTCTTATCCCTATTATAGATACATAATTTTTAAATTAAAAATAATATTCATTTAAAAGTATTTTTAAGCGAAGCCACACATTCGGAATAGAAGTAATGTTGAATAATTTATTTTTTGATATTTGTATATTATGCTATATATTGATAATATATGCTCCTTTCATTAAAAATGTAAGGCTTTTTTGGGAGTTAAATTTTAAAAAAGTAAGACATTTTTAATATTTTAAAATATAAGCATGCCTTTTTTGTTTCCCAAAAGTGTTCTCATGAATAAAACACTTTATATTTATTTTTGATTGAAACATCCTATTTAATAAGGATAAATATAAAAAATAATATCAATTTAAAAATAAATAATTACTTTATTAAGAAATGAAATTAGGTTAAAAATGATTTTTGAAAAGAGTAAGTAGTAAATACTCCCTCTATTAAAGGGTTTGAATATTTAAAAATGTAAGATATTTTTAGTATTTTAAGACATAAATAATATATTTTTTTTTGAAAGTATCATTAATAAATAAATCACATTTTTTATAAATAATTCACTTTATATTTAATTTAAAGTGAAACACCTTATTAAATATAAATAAATATAAAAAGATGATGTTATTTTGAAAAGAACTAACTACTTAATTGTGAGATATAATTTGGTTAAAAATGTAAATAAGCACGGAACTTTGAGAGCTAAATTTGAAAGTTATGTTTAAATAAGAGTTTGAGTTTAAAAATTAATTTTTTTTTAAAAAATAATTTTGGGGTTTAATTTTGATGAGCTTAAAAAAAAAGGCTTGAACTTTGGTGGCCCTCCAAGCCCCCTATTCCCTAAAAGAACAATGCTAATTCAAGTATTGTGTTATTAAAATGATTAATGTTGATTCTTTTATCATTTATTTTTACATGATATTGACATATTATTTACTAGTTTTTTTAAACACGATTACTTTGTAAAATTTATTCTTTAATTTTAATTAATGTTGCACCCTATGATACACAAAATTTTTTATTATCAAATTTGATAAAGTTAATTTAGATTAAAAATTTTTTATCTTCATTTTAAAACTTGATTAAGATTATATATCTAAATTTATATGTATTTATTTATTTTATTAAATTTTTAAAATTTTTTTAAACATACAATGAACTTACAGGCTTTGCCTTACACCTTTTAAATAAAGGTTTAACTTTAAAAATTAGCCATTTTTTTAAAAAAAGTATTCAAAATTTAAGTTTTTAAAAATTAGACCCGCCTATTTTTTATCTGTAAAAATGTAAAAATATTTTTATATAGAAGGAGTAGAGTATATTTTAAATCATTGAAAGCTTCCTCAAATTATTACTAAATTCATTAATTGTTTCATTTCAACTTCTCGAAGAACGACGCTCTCGTCGCGGCATGGATTGGCAAAAATATCTTTTTAAGTTTGCCACCGCCTGATTCGAGAAGCAAGGTCGTCTTCCTCCGTGCATTGTGCTCACTCTGATTTCTCCTTACCTTCGCCACCGCTCAATTTGAGAACCAAGCTCTATTCCACATTCATGGCGTATTCCTTTTCTGCTACCCAAAATCCTCCTCCTCTTCGTCTTCACCATTCCTCTTCAACTATTCCTTTCTTGCGTTCCTCTTTTGCATCCCCATATCAAAAACCCATTCCCTTCTTCAAATCTTCTGTTTCTGCTTCGCGCTTTACTCACTACAGACCCTTCCTTTCCCTGTCACGTCCACGACTCACTTGTTCCATTAATGCTCTTCATTCTGATGTCCCTCGTCCCCACCAGGTACCGCTTTATTCTTAACAATTTTTTTATTTCCCCATTTGAGAACACCGCGAGTATTGAAATGTATTGATTTGGAATCCTTTCTGCCTGTCATGTTCTCGGTTTACTTAACGCGGGTAAGTAATTGCTGATCATCTCGTTGAATCATTTTTCTTGGACCGCTTTCTTGGTAAACAAGTATGAGTAATTTATCTTATTTTGCTGGAGAAAACTTTCCATTATTGTTTGAGCTAGTTATTTTCTTGCGATCTTGTTATGACCTATTGCATCTTGAATCCTGCATTGGATGGATGCCATTCTACTGTGAGGCTATTATGAACCTGAGTTTTTCGTGTAGTTTTTGGGCATAGTACTCCCAAAGGATCAAATCATTGCTTTAAGAAAAAATTGTGCAAAGGTTCATAAAATTACTGGTACTAAGTTACTTTATTATACTAGAACAAGCACAGTAAGAATCGAAAGTGCATGAGGTTTCACGCTTTATGCTTTCTGGGTCTGGTGGTGGATTCCTCATCTTAAGCGAGTTTATTTGGTCCAAGAAAACTAGCTTCCACTTGTTGTTTTAACTTTTGATGTATGCCTCTCTTTCGGATTTACTTGGGCAATATTTGAAGGGATCAGTGGACATTGAGCGGGAAAAAAGGTACCAGCAGTGGGATTCACTGACATCCAAGTTCGCTGGAGCAGCCAATATTCCATTTCTATTGCTGCAGCTACCCCAGATTATCCTTAATGCCCAGAATCTTATGGCAGGAAATAAAACTGCTCTCTTTGCTGTCTCATGGCTGGTAAGGCAGAGCGCCAAGTTTTAAATTAAAAGCTTTCTATGCCCCACCCCCCCCCCCAAAAAAAAAAAAACCCTTTTAAAAGTTAAAAAACGAGTACTTTATTCTAAAATCTTGCACTGAGATGAATCAATGATTTGTAAGATTTTTTCAAGACTATGCTTCAGAAGTTTTTTTTTTTTTTTTTTTTAGTAAAGACCAATTTTAGGTCTTCCTAGCTTAAGATTTAGAGTTGAAATGGTTCTTCACAATGTTCAATTTCAAGATTTATATATTTCATTAATTCTTTTGTTTGGGTATAATTATATCAGTAATTCTTTATCCCTGTGTTTTGTTTTATCAACTTAACGGGGCATGCCTTTTACAACCTAAGGCTAAAATTGGGATGGATGTCAATGCAGGGAATGCTTACCTCTTTGCTTGGAAATTTGTCACTACTATCATACTTTGCCAAGAAGAGAGAAAAGGAAGCAATGATAGTGCAGACACTGGGTGTGGTTTCGACATTTGTAGTCCTTGTTCAGCTGGCATTAGCAGAAGCAATGCCTCTACCTCACTTTTTGGCCACCTCAGTTGTTGTAGGATCTGGTCTTTTTCTGAATTTTATGAATTACTTTGGTTTAGTGAGTTCTGCAATCTGGAGCTTTTGGGAAGACTTCATCACTATTGGTGGTTTATCAGTGCTTCCCCAAGTAATACTCCATTTCCTCTGCCATTAATAATTAAAATTAAAACTGTGTGTACTTAGATGAAGGAACGAAGCCACCAACTCTCATTTATATAAATGTTATGTCTTTGCATTTCCTGCACACAAACAAACAAGTATATTGATTTTATGGTATCTCTTACTAATTATCTTTTGTTGGCAAACATTCAAATTTGGATACAGATAATGTGGTCTACATTTGTCCCCTACGTGCCAAACAGTATCTTACCTGGGATTACTGCCTTTGTGATAGCTATTCTGGCTGTTATCTTGGTAATCTTCTTGTTCCCTTTCTTTTTATTCAGATTATTAGAAGGCAATATCCTGTAAATTACAAGGTTAAAATCCAGTGGATCAGCTTGAAATGGTGCAACTTTGTACTGTCCTCAGTTTTAAATGTCTAATTTTCTGGGGACTTGAAGCAGTAAATTTGATCCGGTGCATTCACGTCATATGAGGGAAGGGATGCTACCCTGCTATAACCGTTTGACTACTGTTTCTATGATTTAGCATTATTCATATTTGATGGCTCAGACAAACGTCAGAAGCAGTTATTTCAACAACTTGTCTGAGATAATAGTAGCAACACAGCTTTATGTAATTTTTTTTTTAATTCATTTTAATGTTTTTCACTCCCCACTCTTTAACCTAGAAATTTTTAATTCAGAATTCTTGTTTGTAGATTGGGTCTTGTGTGGAACTGAATTAAATAGACTTCCTATTATGGCAACCTGTCAAACCCATCACTGCTTTGATTTGCAGGCAAGAAGTGGAAAGCTCCCTGAAGAAGGTGTCAGATTTGTTGGGCTATTATCTGGATGGACAGCTACATTTCTATTCATGTGGATGCCAATTTCGCAAATGGTAATTTGAAGATGTATGCCAGCTTTTTTCCTTGAGAGACAATTAATATTTACCTTGAATATGTAATTATGACCTTATGCTTCTCTCTAGTGGACAAATTTTCTGAATCCTGAGAACATCAAAGGCTTATCAGCCTATTCAATCTTGCTTGCTATGATTGGAAATGCACTTTTGATCCCACGTGCTCTCTTTATTCGTGATCTCATGTGGTAATTCTTCTCTTGCAACGTGCTCTCATTATTCTTGCCACTATTACTGCCACATAAAAGTTACTATTCTCTGGTTCAACTTTGATGATAGGTTCATTGGTTCTGCTTGGGCTACTTTTCTTTATGGATATGGGAATATTGCATGCCTGTACTTGTAAGTTGATCCCTGTTCATTTTTCTTTCCTGCATGCATTCTGGATCTCTTGTAGAATAAAATTAGCGAGAAAATTGCATTTTATTCCCCATGAACTTTGAGGCCTAGTTACAAATTTACTACATCAACTTTAAAACAAGACACTATATGTTTAGTCTCTTTTTAAAGTTGACAATATGATTGACCGATGTTGTATCAGATCTTAGCTTTTGTTCCAGGGAGTATATTGCATTTCTCCCTAAAATCAAAGGTTAGATGAAAACTAAGGGTGTTTTGTGATTGCAGTTTCAATATTATCAGGAAGGAATACTTCTTGGCAGCAACAGTCGGTCTGGTTTTATGGATAGGTTATTCTCTGTCTTGCAGTTCACAAATCTTTGCTTATATTTATCATTCCGCATTCAATAGCACTATTCTGATGATTTTAGTTTTGGGAGAATGACTTGCATTCTTAAAAAATTTTGCTGCCAGGTTCGTCCTTAGAAGTATAATACTTAGTTATTTTCGTTCAATAGAGCCCTTCCACTTGTCAATTATTTAATTGACGAACTTAAAATGCATACTCAATGAATTGAACCAATCTTGATTGTCTGCTAATGTATAACTTCATTTTAGGAAAAATGACAATTAAAGATTCAAAACTTAAATTAATGACAGGTAAAGAGAGAGAGAGAGATATATATATATATACATATATCTGGAAGACCATACAAATCCAGTATTATCAGTGCTTTTTAAAGTTACTTATATTTCATAAAGTTGAAGTTTGATTTTTTTTTTTTCAATATTACAAGGATGTTTTAAATTTCAATGAAAAATATCCTTTAGCATTTGAAAAACCAGGTTGCGTGACTTTAGAGAATATAACTTCAGAAAACACTAATGATATCGTATTACTACAGTTTTTGGAAGGGCTTCTAATTTGATTGTTATTTTTCCTTATTCATGTAACATGAATATGAACTTGCTGCAACCAAGCTACCGTTAGAAGCTACACCCTGTTCCCAAACCACAGTGATTTTATCTTTTTAGGTTTTTGAAAATGTGTCACATCTCTTCGAATATGTGTTGTGAAGGTGTGAATGAAGTTTAGGCTATGTACCACTTATTAAGTAGCAATTTTTATCTAAGGCAATGGAATGCTGCTACTGATTATTTCTGCTTGTGACAGTGACAACTTTCTGGAGAGACTCTTCAGTTCATGGCTACAGTTCACCATTGAATTCTGTACAGGCCTTAGTGTTTAAATCATCAAAATGAAACTGTGGACTCTGCATCCACTGAGAGTTAAAATTTTCCAGTGTGTTTGTGAACATCTATACGGTTTATCATTATGTTGTATAATTTTAGAAGAAAGGAAGCAAAAACAAGGGGAAAAGAAACGAGAAAATTATATTGAATCTTACCAAGGAGATATGTTACTGGTAAATGATAATAGACTTGTCATTGTCATACAAAACAATCCTCGTCCTTGAGCTGATCATGGAAGGCAGATTTGCATTTTGCTTATGTTTCCTTTGTTTAAAGCTCTTTTATTCTAATTATTTCAATTTGTCTCTTTAACTGAAGGAACAATAGCTTCAAAGAATGTAAGAAAAAGACAAGCATAAACTACTCCCAATCTGAAACTTGAAAAGAACCAAATTGCAACGGTGTACAAAATTGTGTTCCCAAATCTTGTTTGCTTGTTCCCTTCTCCAAATCAAAAATACAGATGCTAGTTATATCAAACCGTTATTCAACTAGAAAAACATCCATGTTCACTTATGATTCATCAACACGAAAGTAGTATTTCTATTAATTTACTAATTCATTCAATTTTAAAGGAATCAATGCATTCAATATTGAATTTTAATGAAAACATACCAAAATTAAAGATCAAGAGTGAATAAAATTTTAAAAAAGGAGAATAATGTTAGTTTTGGCTCCCAAGAATAATTCAATTAAAGCTTTTATATAAGTTAAATAGGATTAAACACGCAGAAAATAATAAAAAATTAAAGCCAAATTGAGGTAAATTTCTTAGTCATGTTAAAATTACAATGGCCAATTACCTATAGTCCTCACTCACATACTCTAAAAAGTTGAATTAAATTACAGTATCTACTCCACTGATAGAATTCAAGCTGGGTGATTTAATTGGAGAAAAGCTAAAGGAGTTATTTGTGACCGTAAGGTGCCTAATAAACTTAAAGAAAAGTTTTATAGCACTACTATCAGACCGGCAATGTTATATAGTAGTGAATGCTGAGCTCTAACGGGACAACAAGAGCATAAAGTTGGAGTAGCAGAGATGAGAATGTTACGATGGATGTGCGGACATACACGTAAAGATAAAATTCGAAATGAGCACATACGCGAAAAAGTGAGGGTGGCACCTATTGAAAAAAAAATGGTAAAAAATCGATTAAGATGGTTTGGACATGTACAAAGAAGACCAAGGGAAGCACCAGTGAGAAGAATAGAACATATAACTTTGAGTCCGATTAAGAGAGGTAGAGGAAGGCCTAAGAGAACACTCTTGGAAAGCGATCTCTTAATTAATAATATTCCTAAAAGCTTGATAAATGATAGAGCACAATGACATCTTGCAATCCATGTAGCCGACCCCACCTAGTGAGATAAAGACTTGTTGTTGTAACTTAATTTTGTTATACGAGACGGTAAAACACTGGTATCCATGGAACAACGAGGTATTAGTAAATAGTAAAGATCCACTTTGTGTAAGTGCAGGGTATCCATGAAGCTTTGGTGAAATAAATATCTTATAATTCAGAAACCATCATTCAACAGGTAAGTATCAGCAGTCGATATTATGTTATAAATTATAAATGATGATTCATGATTCAAATGAGCATTCACTTTCTCACACTAGAGGTCACTCATCCTGATAACGAATTTATACTAATACTTTCACCAAAAAGTAAAAACAAAGCGAAGCCTACTCAAACAATAACAAATATCTTCTTTAATATGCTAGATGGGCAAATTAACTTGTTAAACTGAAAAATATCGCATTACATCGCTAAACAGCATGTAGACAGAACCAAAATTTAACTGCACCCAGAAAAATTAAAATCATTACAAACATTCTGAAAACTCATTTCTTCTTTCCAGCCTCAGAAGCCTTGGTCTGTACAAAAGAAGACAAAAGTTTAAATATATCGCAAAGTACAGAGAGATTTAAAATTATAAGCCATTAAATTTACCTTCTTTACACCACGAATCTTCTTCGCCCTATTCTTTCGCTCCTTGACTTGCTTCCTTGACTTCTCTACCTTGGAAGCGAGTCCATTCTACCCAAAAAAAAAAAAACAATGCCAAGTATTAACAGAACAAAGCACGCAGAATAGAAAGAAATAACAATAACCAAAGAATAGGCAGCAGGAAGAACTGTTATCAAATTCAGCAACTAATTCAAAAGAATACCAAGTATTAACAATAAATAAAAGAACACCATTAACAATTCTAGCTAGCTAAGACCATTGAAATGATAACCAGACACAACTAGAGAATGCAACATTACTTGGCCATATACCGCTGATACTACAAACGATATTCCTAGGAACTCGAGAATGATGAAGAAATAAGGACTTTTCTGAGCAATACCATGAAGAATTCAAGTCGTTGCTTTGGAACTAAGAAAATCTTCTAATGAATTACAATTTTACGCAGGCAACAAGAAACAGCAAACTATCACTAGTCACTACCCAGTCCCACTGACAAACTAAGGTCTTGGAATAAAAATACAGGGTCAAATGAACAAGAGCAGTACAGAACTATGCATCAAGAAAATGATCAAAAGCATGATGTTGCCAACAAAATAAATCCTTTCCATTACAGTTACACTCAACTTACCCTGATAAGCCTGTACTTGGGCTCATACTTCTTTGCATTTTCAACAGAATCATAAATTAAGCCAAATCCAGTCGACTTCCCGCCTCCGAAGTGAGTTCTAAACTTGAAGACAAAAATCGCATTAGGGTCTTTGACATCGTACATCCTTGCTAACTTCTCCTTAAGTTCCGCCTATATACCACCAAAAATAATTAAAAACAATTATACGAGTTTTGTCGACTCTAGCCCTAACAATTCATAAGAAAGGGATAAAAAACTGAAGTACCTTGGATACGTTTGGCCTCCCAGGATGAAGTACATCAATGATCTGCAACACAAAATAACATGAAAAAAATATCGGTCCCCTCTAATTCAAAAAATAGGTTAAAAAAACCCAACAGATTCGATGTGCGGATGAAAAACTCACAAACTGCTTGCGAGATAGAAGCCTGTTTGTCATGAATTTCCTGGTTCGGACGGTGACAGCCTTGTCAGCCATGTTGTTGAGGTGATCAGGGACCTTTTGAAATGCAGGAAACGCAGGGTAAAGGAGTGCCCGGACGACAATTACTCGGCAACGAGACCCCTCAACACAAACTTTATACCCTAGGGTTAGCTGGTTAGGGTTTCAGATTTTTTTTTGGGGGCCCAATTAGGGTTTCAGATTCAGACCCCTTTTTATTTTCCTTTTTTTCATACTACTTGGGCTATAAAGGACCAAACTAAGAAACCCATATGACGCCGAAGACATGTTGCCCAAAAGAAAAATGAATGACACAACAAAGACCCAGAGGCATTGATAAAATGTATATAATAAGAGTGACAATTTAAAATTGTGAAAATATATATTTAATGAGATGGTATCTTTCTCTGTTTATTTATATAAATTAAAGGGCAATTTTTCTATTAAATTATAAATCTAATAGCATTTAAGACTAAATTTGTTCTCATTTGATTGTTGAAAATGATATAACATTGACAAAGGTTAACTTTATTAATGGTAGAAACAACGCTACACAATTTTCATTTGTTGAAGGGACCATGCAAGAGGGAAAAAAAAAAAGGAATCCTAGATGATAATAATCATATAGCATAAGGCCAACATTGTCTTTTAATTCTCTCTCTATAAGGTTTGGCTTAGAGCTATTCAACATAGAAGTTGGCCGTAGATGTCCTTTTCACATTAATGGCCAGTGATTAAATTCCTAACAAAATGCTCAAGAGACTCACACATCAGCTAATTGTACTAGACCTTGTTGTAGAGCTAGTAATATGTGTGAGTTAGTCTGCAACGGATTGTGAATTTAGTGGAATAGGTTGGCATAACCTGCATTCTGTGTAGGTTGTAATTCTACCAACTTGCACAACCCCTAAAAATTGCTAGTAAAAACATATTTTTTTATAATTTTTTAATTTTAAAAATTACAAATTCACCTCTTATTTTTATTTTTTTGCTGTAAAAAATCATATATTCTTCCTAAAAGCTAATTATCTAATTAACAATAAAAGTTTTTTTAATCAAACTATGCTTATATCACTACTTAACTATAAACTAACTTAATTTTATGATTCTTTTGTTCTTCAGTGTTTGCACTTTACACAAGTTTTTGTTTTTCACATATATGATTTCTTTTTTTGTTTTGTTTGGATTTTAGCATTCCTCAACTTTGAGAGAGCAATAATGGTTGTGTCCAATTAATTATTGAAAATGGTTGGTAATTTCTAAATCAGATCTTTATTTGGACAACATAAAAATATAATATTATGATTTGAGATATTTAACTTATATCTAAGCGGTGTGTTTTTATTTTTTTCTACCATAATTTAAACTTGAATTAAATAAATATACAAGTGTTAAGTACTTAGACTATAATTCCATGTATGCTTATTCTGATTGCTTTACTTTATACTTAATCTCATTCATTTATTTTTGCTTTTTTTTTCAAAGAAAATATAAGTGGGCTAATCCACTAACTGGAGAGATAATTCATTATGAGTTCTAGCCTACCCCACATTTAAATGAATTCATTTTCTTTAGCCCAACCTATTACTTTTTTGCAAGTTGGCGAGTTCGACCCATGTTATTGGTTCTCTCTTGCTAGTTGTGTATGTTATTGGTTCTATCTTGCTGGTTGTGTTTGTTAATTGATTTTAAATTGGTTTGAAAATCAAGTGATTAATTTGAAAAAAATTAATCTAAGTATTTTGTATTGAATGATTATAACTAATTAAGATATTAACACTATCACAATATATTAATCTAAGTATTTTCATATTTAAAATTCGAATTATCAAATCTTTGGATTTTTTTTCAATTGCAAATCTATAATGATTTTCAATTTCTCCTATGCATCAGGATTTTATATATATTAATGTTATGTTTTAAGTTTTTAGAGTTAATAATTAATAATCTATTTTTATATATATATGGATGAAGCAACTTAACTTATTATTACATAAAACGCGCAAGCGTCTAGTTATTATAGAAACACATTATTTGGTTAGGATGGCTCGTGCACAATCTCTCGATTTTAATTTTGAAAATAAAAAATTATAAGTCCTCATATTTTATTGCATTTTATTTTCACCCCCTTAATTTTATTTAATTGTTCAACATCCTTTTAGTTTGATGTATTGATAATATGTTCTTACAAATTTTAAAAATATACATAAAAATTATGAGCTAGATTTTATTTTCATGTCAATATATTTTTCCCATATCAACAAAAACAATTTATGATACATTGCTAAAACCTAAGATCCTAAAACTATAAATTAAATGATTGGAAACAATGAAATAAAATTATTTAAATTAAAAAATTAAATACAATCAAAATACATGAATCAATTAGTATTTTCCAAAAAAAATTAATAAAAACACAATAAACAGAATAACTTCACACACGCCATTCCGTTTCTGAAAAATGGAAAAACTTTCCTCTCTTGAAAGTTGAAACTCTAGCCAGTCTTTCATTCACTTTTCTGCAAAAACAAGTATTGTTCTCTCGACTTCCCGCTAATGTAGCTGTCCATTTGAGTTTTCTGAGGAAGTTGTGGATGCGAAATTCCATTCATAGATCTTAGGAGCAATTTCTCTCTTCTTTTTATCTCCCGTCAAATTTTTTGGTTGGCAATGGATGGTTACACTGCCGAAGATCTGTCAACTATCGGAGGAATCGCTACCGTTTCAATTCTGCATTCCTTCATTCCAACCCACTGGCTTCCTTTCTCTATTGTGGGTCGTGCGCAGAAATGGACTCTATCGAGAACGCTGCTTGTCAGTATGTCATCCACCCTGTTTTCACCGTTTGCTTATGACTTGCTTTCCAGATCTTATTTTCAGGGGATATGAATAACTTTCAGCGAGGATTTAGGAACTACGCTTTCGTTTTCTAGCTTGAGTAAAGACAATATCAATGTAATGTCCTTATAATTGTCTTCTTCTTCTTGCCTTCCTGTAATTAGACTTTAAATCTGGTTGGGGGATTTCCGACTCCCTTTATTTCCCCCTCTTACTTTTTGAATTTATTGCTTTGGTCAAAATCGTGCTGATTCAATACCTATTTCATCTTTCGTATACCCCCTGATTGATGGCTAAAGATTTTAGGAACTTTTAAGCTTAATTCTAATGACTTTGTTCCATTCGGGACTGTCTAGTCCGGGAATTAACTACTTTCGTGACCCAACTATCTTCGTGTTAAGTGGACCCGCATGAGGTTGATGTTCCAGTAATGTTTAATAAGCTGAATTGTCGAAGTGCATTGAGCATTAACTCACTTGTATTTTTCTACAGTTAAACTATTGCATTTTGTGGTTTGTATTTGTATTAAAATTTCGTTTGCTTTTCATGTTAAAGCCAATATCCATAGAAAAAAGCACCCATGTTAAATTAAGCCATGAGTTTGAGGTATTATTGTTTCTTTCACTGTCAAATAAATTAAGGCGATTGTGATATTGAAAAGATTGCCTGCCACATTTGGAGGCATTTGGCCATGTACTCAAATTTTAGTCACCAAGAATATTCAGTGAATTGTTATTGCCATGCCTCTTGATATTTCTTTACACTGTACTTATTCTTACGCAGCTGCCTTTGGAGCAATTTTGCACGTGATATCCACTTCACTTCTTGGTGTAACAGCAATCACCATGGCCAACACCATTGCTGGTGAAGAAACGGTGCACAAGCTTGCCTCACTTCTGCTCATATTTCTTGGTGGTAGTTATGTTCTTTTGTTTTTATTCGGAAAGGGTGGCCACAGCCATTCTCACAACCAACCCATGGAGAAAATGGCAGTTGCTGGGCTTATTCTTGTTCCTGCATTATCACCTTGTGCTACAACACTTCCGGTTTTTCTTGCTGCTGGCAATTCATCCTCAATGATGGTACTTGCCATTATAATGCTTCTATTCAGGTACTAATAAGTTGCATTGTAGTATTGATCATTTAGAGTTTTATACTTTTTTTGAAGGTTTCATTTTATTTTTTTACTTCTTCTGTTCATTTGTGCATATGGCATATCATGGTGCACGTCTGCATGAGCATTGTATGATCATATAAGATGTTGTGTTATTCAAAGGCTTTACTCGTGATAACAACGCAAATTTATGATGATGGCCATGACATTGAAGTAAGCAATGGCTGCTGTGTATATTTCCATTTATTTGAATATTTATAGGAAACTGGACTGAACTAATGAAACCATTCAAATATCCTCCTTTGCACTGGCATTTGCCTATCATGTGAGATACCTCTTGAAAATTTATTTCCATTTCTTTATAAGGATTTATGCAGAAGCTGCAATGCAAATGCTGGTATTAAAGGCAATAATGAACTACAACCCTCTGTTGCTTTGCTTGGACTAGCTACTTGTAATTGAGATGCCACTCAACCTTGTTTGTTGTTGCAAAGGACATGTTAAGTAATAAATACTGTCTTTGTTCCTAATTATAAGAAAAATTTTTGGTGAGTATGGTTTTCCTATATACTAGACAAGTTACAAAGAATAAAAAAAAAAAAAATTGACCCACAGGATAAGAAAATGATTAGCAGCATTAATTGAGGGCAGAAGTGGAAAGATGAAAAAAAAAATTAAGACATAAATTAGTTAAAGCTGTTTTATTGGCGTGTGTGAGTTAGGTAATTGTACCTTATAAAAATTAACAGAGGGAGTATAACAATCCTGTTTCCGTTTCTGCTGCATGTTTCTAGTTTTGAATGCTATTCTGCATACTGAAAGTGTGTGTGTGTGTGTGTGTGTCCTTGAATCCCCTCGTAAGACTTGTACAATGGGGTTGTCCTTATTTGGTATAGATGTCAATTTGGTTTGACAAAAGTCATGCATTTGAACATTTGTAACTTTTACCAAGTTTCATACCGTGTAATATTGCATTTACAGCACCGTATCAGTAATGACTTCACTGGTAGCACTGTCATTCTATGGGGCCAGTCAGCTGAAGTTTCATTGGGTGGAGCGGTACGACAAACTTCTTGTTGGTTCAGTCCTTTGTTTGGTGGGAGTCTTGACCTTAGTTTTTCATCATCACGACGGAGAAATGGGTTCTTTTGGAGAGCACTCGCATAGGAAAATCATTACCCTTTGAGAACTAATAACATAATGTGATTATGAGCTTTTTGGCTATGTTGAGGTCTGATAATCTTGATCCAGTCAAAGTTGTCGTAAGCTGATTTTGCAATGTGCCATTAATGAAAATTCAAATAGCTCTAGCTCATTGCGCATTTTTTTTAGTTACCATCTTAACTATAAAGTAGACCTAACGATCCTCAGTAATTAGCAAGAGTTAAGACTTGTCAAGTGATTTTGGCATAAACGAAGGGCATGTTTGGTTTAATTTTGTAAAAGGAGTTTCGCTAAATTGAACTGACTTTTGCCAAAAGCTATTCTAATTTTTGTTTATAAAATTGACTTTTCATTTATCGCTTGTTTTTATATTTTTCTTGTGAGAGAATGAGAGAAGCATGTTTACCATTATCCGAAAATGCATGGGTTTTGCGAGATGCATGGCCCATTTCATTGCGTATTCTTTTACTCGAAAGTTAAGCCACTCCTCACGATAACAACGGATTAAAGGTAAACAAAGACATTAGACAAACAGTAGTGAGGATATACATTCCTTGCGTCTTTGGTTTAACTAAAAGGCCATTCAATTCTAGTCCAACAAGCAGAGCATCAGCATCCACCCACCACCTTTTTATACGAGAAGTGGACACCAAGAAACGAAGCTCTTGTCTCATATTAATTTCTCAAACCTTCATTTCTTCTCAGTCCCCGGAAGTAACTTCTCTGTCCCATACCAACACCGAGAGAAGGACGTCCTTACTTGTTCTGTCTTTGTGAAGACCAGGTGATGTTCATGAAGAAGGCAGAGATAGATACGAGAGCCCCATTTCGGTCCGTCAAAGAGGCTGTTTCCTTGTTTGGTGAGAAAGTGTTGGCGCAAGAGCTCTATGCAACCCAGCTCAAAGAGGTTCTCTCTTTGTATCCACCTTTTAATTTATTGCTTCCTTTGAATGTTTTTATACCACCGTTTTCGTCTCTCTCTTCTTCTCCTAATGGCTTCAACTATACCCTGCTTGTATTACAATGTTCATGTGGTGTGATGGAATAAAGACAGGGAGAGTGAACAAATAATAAGTCATAGCCTATGAATGCATTCCTCAATTCCATTTTATGTCAATTGTGTGGCTTTGATATATGCATATACAGAGGGGAGGGATGGAAGAGTCATGGAGGGTGGGAAGAGTAGCTGCAGAGCTGGAGGAGACGAGGCAGAATCTGGAGAGGGCGAGAGAGGAAAGCATGTTAATGGCGCATTGCCTGTCATCTCTGCAGGAAGAGCTTGAGCGTACGAAGCAAGAGCTGCAACAGCTGAAGCAACAGGAGAAAGAGGAGAAGCATGTAGTGGAATGCGAGATTGAAGATGTTAAGTTTGTTGAGAACTTGAGCAATTCACAAGAGCTTCAGAAGAAAAGGTACGTCACATTTGCGAATCCTCCCTCTGTGGCTCATGCCATTCACCCACAGGGTCTTGAGAAGCTGGAGAGGCATCCTTCCCTCAGGAAGAAGAAGAACAAGAACCCTTTGATTCCTCTCATTAGTATCTTCTCCAGGAAAAGGGCTAACCCACCAGTCCCCTGAACTCTTATATTCTTATGCACTTTCTGTTCTTCATGTCCTTTTTGTATCATACTAGCTGGTAGCCGTTAACATATTCCCCCAAAGTAAGACGAGAGTGTACATTTAAGAGTCTTGTATTCATGAATCATGAAGCACCATCATTACAAATTAAATTCTGTTGCCTTCTCAATTGTTTTTGTCCGTACATAACATGGGAACTGACAATTCATTATAACTGTATTCTGTGTGTTAAATTTAGACTAAAACACACCCCAGAAACGGTTTGATGACTAAGAATGAACAAACTCACGGATTGTAATGGATATAGAGAAGAACATAGGCATTTGCAAGAACCCACAAAAGTGATATGTCTAATTTACCGCATTGAGTTCCAAATCGTTCTTCAAACTTTATCGATGGATTTTAATTTCTTTTCCATTGCTGAATCCTAGACACGGATGGAGGAGGGGTAGGTTTTATATCAGCGAACTAACTGAAGGTGTCCCAGGGAAAGAGAGACCTGAGATAAATTCCTTGTTACTGAATTTGCTTTTAGTATCGGACTCGTGTGTTCTTATCAAGTATCGGTTTTTATTTCTTCTACATAATATGCATGTTTTAGATTGTAATCACAAATAAATTTTATATTTTTAAACAAGTTTTTCTTTATTTCTATCATCTAATAACTAAAAAATTCTGTGTGTTTTTGAAGATAAAAAATATAGTTAATTGTAATCACAAATATATTGATTTTCGCTTGTTTGTTTTTTTAACCAACGAGTTTAATATTCTATTTTTTTTTTTTTGCCAGTAGTCTAATATTCTATTTGGTTAACACACATTTAGCTTTTCCAATGTTGTTTGCGTAAAATATGATGATAAAACTACTTTCTCAATACGTCCTTTTTTTTTTTTAAAATACAATTCTCAAAGTATATCCTAAAGTGTAGGTGAAAGTTCATTTTATATCCAACAAGCTCACAATTTTGTTGGTAGGTGTAAGTATTTCTATAAATACTTCTTCAGTTTAAAAATATGCAGTGACTTTAGTGAGTTTCTGAAACCTAACTCACTTATAATTGAAATTCCATTTAATTGATTTAAACTATAGTTTGTAGGCTTAAAAGCTAGTTAGAAATAATATATATATATATATATATATATGTTTTGGTAAGAGTAATTGGTAAATGAGCTTTTCTTTAATTTCCCAACTATAGTTAAGCTAAAAGTTAAAATTTTTTACATTAGTTACGTTGAAATATATATATGTTAGCATTATTTAATGTATTTTAAATTTATTGAATAATCTGTTTATCCTTCTGCATTTCCTTTTAAAGTTTTATATTTTTATTATTTATAAATTTCAAATTTTTATTATTTGTAATATATATTCTTTAAATTGATTTAATTAATTTTTTTAAGTATTTAAAAATATTTTTCTACATTAATACATTAGTTATTTTATTTTTATAATTGTAATTTTAATATTTTTTCTTAAATCCATCAAATTGCATCCATATATGTGCGCTACACCACTCATGTCCTTTTTAGTTTTTTATTTTTTTTATACCAACCAATCTTCTTTTTAGTTATTGTATATTTAAATATACTTTTTAATTATATCATTGAAACAAGTTTTAATTTGTCAAATTGATTTTTTTTATAAAAAAGTATTCAAATATAAATCGCATTACAATAATTAATTTTTAACTCAACTTTAATTTGCAAACTATAATTTATGCAAAATATAGTTCTTCAAATGTTAATCCAAACAACCATTTACTTTTGCATTTGGAGGAAGTTTACGAGATAAGTAAAATTTCTAAGTTCCTAAATTTCGCTTCTTCGGTAGTTCATGTCTTCTTTGCATTTTATTTCCCGTACAATATGGTATTTTAGTCCAATAGTTTTTAAATAATAAATTTCCAAATGCTTTATATTATATTAAAATACATTTTAACTCTGAATAAATAATCTTATATTTAATTTTTTTAATAGGAAAGGAAAGACAAAACCGAAACAAAAAAAAAAGTAACTACAGAGGTGTTATTATTTAATTTTTTAAAAAATACAATCATTAATTTCTACAATTTTATTAAATTTTGCTTTTAATTTTTATAATTTTTTAATGTTTTTAGTTTATACAGTTTCAACAAAATGTAGCAACATTTGTTACTAAAATCTCTATAGTTTCGGTGTTGTTAATCCCTAAAGATTCAAAACACTAAAAAAGTTATCGAGATTAAAAGTAAAATTTGATAAAATTATAAGAATAAATGATTTTGCATTTCTTACTTTTAATTGAAAATTTATATAATTTTTATCCAGTACATGAAACTTTTAATTTTTTTATTCTTACTATTTATTAAATTTTATATTATTTAAAATTTGTATCACATATTTGTGTAACAATTTATACATCATAAAAATAATAATTTTTTTATAATTGTACATTTAAAAACATTTTTCATTATTTACAATTTAAATAATTTTTAATTTAGCAAACTAACTTTTAAAAAATATATTCAAATGTAAATTTTGTAACAATAATTAACTTTTTAAAAAATGTACCTGTTTAGTTTTTCCTTGATCAAAAATTAATGTCAAAAAATTATTTGGTAAAAATTAATTATTATAATGAAATTTATAATTGGATATATCCTATTAAAAAAAAAGAAGAAGAAGCTCCCCCATGTTATGTTTTCTCTTGTTTCTTTATACGTTGCTTTCACTAAATCCACATTCAATAGTTTTTAGGAAGTACATATGAAAAATTGGTTGAGTTAAACAAGATATCCACAATACTTTCTACTCTCTAGAGCACAGAGCAAATTCACAAAGAAAGAAAAGTGCATATCAAGTATCAAATTCTTTTTATTTTCAAGAGAGGAAACCTCCCAAAGACAAGAATATGCTTTTAGTTAATCTAATACTTGTGAAAGGGTGATTGCTTGATTTATATCCTATGGCCATCAGATGAGAGACATTTTGTTACTCCAATTTAATTACCCAGAGCTCTTACTCCTTAATTTCACCATGGTCGACGCCTGTTCTTTTTTCTCAAACTTATACCAAACATTGCAAACAAATATAACTTCTTCCCCTCTGGACTGTGCTAGTGTAAACTCTAATTTCCAAAAGCCCTCTACATTAATGTTGTACAGTGACGTAAACTAGCTAACTCATAAGTTCTTTTAATAAATTACAACTTCAAAAATGTTATGTTATGGGTTATGGGGTAGGACTAATACAAACATATAATACATACACGTACACCTAAAAGCTTTTTCCTCCTCAATAAGCATGTATGATAGAATGTCACGTTTTGTCATTAATCAGGTAAGAATAAACTTCTATCCTTGATTTTGACGGGCTTCCATTCTTATCTAGTTGTTGAAAATAAAACCATTGAGACCCCACCGGATTTTCATATATAACTCCTATAGAAGTTAGAATATCACCGTAAGACATTGTTTCTGCATCTCCTTTCCTAGCTATGACATGCAATCCCTACCATAAAAAACCTTAAACATAACCATGCCAACTATGCAGAGTACTATTTCTTAGTAAATGTAAATCTAGCTCTTTCCGTCACCCAAAAATATTACTTTGCAACATCGAAACTCGAATCAGAAGTAAAAACTAAATAGTACCATTCATTGCAAAAAGAGGTGTACTGTTCACAATATTAAAACATGTGCAACAAGCATCAAGAAAAGCGAACAAGTTATAGCTTTTAATATGCAAGCAAGCGTATTAAGTAACATAAATTTTCAAAAACACCATCCCACTTTAGACCAAGCATACTATAGTGTAATTTAGCAAACATGTACAGCATCACAAAACAAAAAGCTCCCTAATTCAAAACAAAATATGACTCGTCAGCCACTGTACCCAAGTGTTCATCATCTTCCCAATTGCGAAATAATCATAATAGCTAGTTCACCTGTACAATCCATTCAAAAGGTAAACCGTAAACACATCATTACAAACATTTATGAAAAAGACAACATAAATACAGTGATATACACACACTTGTTGGAAGTCTGAATTTCAAACGTGGAGGGGTGGTATATTTGAGTTATTTCAGTTTATGTTGAATCTAAAATATAAAAGATAAAACATGCATATCTAGATTAATATTTTTTTTTGACCAAATATCTAGATTCATTGGCAACCAAGTTTAGTGTGAACAGAAACATTTGGGATTTGTCGTTATTAGAGACTAGAGTGAAAAACTGGTTCAGAAACCAAAAAAATACAAACTTCCAAGGAAATGGTTTTCTTATTCAAACTGAGTTTTTCAACATCGATGCAAAGCTCCTATTTATACTGCCTTGGGGAAGAGCAGCATTTAAATGCAAATGAAAGAGTTACAGGGAGGGAGTTACACCATGTTTATTGCTTATTATGAGCACCTTAGCGGCACTAATGCAAATGACCGAATGTTGGAATAGTTCCTTTGGTAACTGGCATGCATTCAAGCTTCCGTTTCAAAAACCAAGACTAACAAGGAATAACTAGAATATATAATAACAATTAATAAGAAATTATTTGAATGATTGACAAAATCTCACCCTTGCATCACCAGACACAACCCAGGCTGGGGGAGGCCAGAAAAGTCCAGAATAGCCAAGCATTCCTGGAAGCATCCTAGCGGAACAGTCCTCCAAGTCAAACAACGCAGCATCATGGCCTGGACTTTTACCATCATTATGACCGTCACAGAAGCAATCTTCGGAATATTAAATGCAATTCTTCTTGCATCCTCGAAAGTCTTGAGCTGAAACAGAGAAGGTGCACATATCACAAATAATCACAGCCCTGTTTTCCAAGCTTGTCACCGTAACCCATTGGCGCTTTTCCTCTTTCAGTTTATAAACATGAAAGTAAGTGGGACGAGCACCAATGTCGTCTTCAGAATCGCAACGCCCAAGAAAAACATCCGCAGGATAACGGTCCTTGTCTAGAAGGAATAAATCACCGAGAGAATTCACCAAGCGCTTTTCTCGATCACCATATATGTATCATAACCACAAGGAGGTATTTCTGGTGCAACCCGTGTAATCTTCAACGAAAAATCCGCTGAAATAGTAAAACCAGAGCTATCCAGAGCATAGAACTTGCGATCGCGATAAACAACATCGTTATAACAAGCACCGTCTCGGCCATCATTTATACGAGTCCATTTCTTATCGCCCCTTCTCAAAATACTCAAATGGCCAGCCGTGTGAATAGTCATAACGGCAAAATCAGAACTCTCAGAACACACAGCAACTCTCTTAACGATGAGAGATTTAAGGTCTGGAGAATGTACTTCAGGTAGTTTCCCCGTGGTCACAAATCGAAGCTCATAAAATTTATCTATCTCAGAAACCCTATAGTCAAGAAGATTCAAGCTCTCAGGAAGACGTGGAGACAAGTTGTAGTAGTCATAATCAAACCGATAGAGAGGATCTTTGAAGCGAACTGTGCCAAGCTCCTCGGCCTCCTCGATCTTGATGAGCCAGCATTTGGGAGTCTTCCAACTGTTTGATATTTTCTTGAGGGGTTGAAAGCAGTAGATGGTGGATTCAACAAAGTCGAAGTAACGACGAATTCTTGGATTGAGTTCAGAGTTGGGACCCGCTGGGAAGGGAAGCTCGGATGGCGAAGATGACCTCTGGGGCGGCGGCGGGAGGAGGGAGCGCCATGAGTGGCAAACAGCACGGAGGCAGAGACGATCAACACGAGAAGCCAGGCAGTTAGCGATATTGAGGAGCAAATCTCTGCCAAGACCAGACCACGAAGGAGTAGAAGAGGGAGTATCCATTGAAAATGGAGAGGTTGGAGAGAGGAGAAGAAGAAGAAGAATGGGAATGTGAGTAACGTGATGAGCAAGTCTAGGGTTAGTGGGCGGTAGAAGTTTTTGAGGATGATGATGGCGATGAGACTGGCATTAATAACTTCCCGCGGAAACCAGCGCGGGGGCGCGGGAAATGCGAAAATATTGAAATTTGTGCTCGTGCGTTAATTAGGGAAAATTCGGAACCAGGACCGTGACGTCCAAATATTTGGGATTTGGGAAGAAGCAATGTCATGAAAATTGGCCCGGTTATAGAATTGATTAAGCTACTGGTTTATGATTTTTTTTGAGCAAAAAGCTACTGGTTTACGATTTAATAGAGGTAGAAATAGGTTAAGTTGAATTAAGTTTTAACTAAATGAACCTAAATTTGTGTGGTAAACGTAAGACTTTTTTCATGACTTAAGCTTAAATTTATTTAAAAATAAACCTTTTAAATATGCTCGTATTTTAATTTTAAATGATTCAAATATATTTAAGTACTATTATAATATATAATATATGACCTGATTTATCAATTACAATATGTGATAATTGAAAGGACTTATCAATTACAATACAATATAATAATAAAGTAATAACATTAAAATTAATATATAAGTTCAATAAGATTGAAAATATAACTAAAAACTAAAAAGAATAAATTGATTAAAAATCAAATGGTAAAACTAATGTACTTGTGATATATTACATTATATATGTGCATGCGCGTAAATAGGCCGGCTTGTTGGACTCATAGGCTATGCCTTAAAAAATAAGTCTAACCTATTTAATTAAATAGGCTTAATTAGAAGCTTAAACTTGGCCTAAGCCTATTTAATAAATAAGTTAGGTTGAGGCCGAAATAAGTTAGATTACAGGCTCCTGTTAAGGGTATGGCCTATTCTCACCCCTATGATTCAATGATTGAGCCATGGTTGGACCCATGGTCTAACCGATCATAAAAAAGTTGATATATTTTAAATATTATATACTTAAAATAAAAAGAAATAATTATATATAATAACAAAAATGAATGTTAAATTTCAAACAAAATAATATACAATAAAAATAAAATATTCATCAATATTACATTATTTTCATCCAAAATATATATAAGTACTCCCTCCGTTAAAAAATTTAAGGCATTTTTTAAAGAGTTGTATGTTAAAAAATGTAAGATATTTTTAATCTTTCGAGGTGTAATCATTACTTTTTTTTTAAAAGTGTCTTCATTGATGATGACTTTATATTTATTGTAGATTGTTTAATAAGGGTAAATATGAAAAAATAGGATTAGTTAAAAAGTAGGTAACTACTTTAGTGGGGGTGAGATTCAGTTAAAAATGCCTTACATTTTTTAACGGAGGGATTATTTCATAAATTGTAATTTATAAATTTAAAATATACACACACATATATAATTCATACATATTTCTTATATTTTTTATTTCATAATTCTTATTAGGTATAAATATGAATTAAAAATAAAAATATTAAAAATGATATGATCGGTTCAATCAATTCTTACCTATTTTTATCTGGTTTGATCAATTTTTTGTTGTTTCGGCCTATTTTTGAGTGGTTATCAAAATTCCAAATTTCTGTGATGACTACGCTGGCCTTGGGACTGATACCTGATTGAATTGGCTAATCCGATCCAATTTTAATAACACTGGGTAGAAGCACCAAGATTTTAATTAAATATTGTAAAGGTCCATGCTCTTAGAAAGGGAATATATATTTAAGAGAAAAGATTAAAGTGTCCTTTAACTTTAAGGAAAGGGATGGGAGTTCAAAGTAATCAAACAAGGTAGTAAATGACCTAGTCATTTTATCCACTGCAACATATCTTTATCACCTCATTGTCATTGAACTCGTCAATAAGGGGTTGAGAGATGAAAGTGAGACATTATTAATATTTGAATGTTGTGGTGTATTAAATAGATTATTTTAAGTATATTGAGTATAATCTAGAGATAATTGTAGGCTATTGGCACTTGGTTGGGATGGGCGTCCAAGTTGTGTTTAAAAGTGTGAAAAGTGTAAATTTACAAATGAGTGCCCAACTTTTGATTGAAGTAAAATTTAGGAATGAGACTAATGTCATTAGTTAAAATTTAAAAAGAGCTTTCTGTATATTCTTAAATTACTTCAATCAGACATCCAATGGAGAATTGGGGCGCATTGAAAGTTTACCTGGTTGTTATCAAATTGACAACAAGTAGCTGTCATCTTTGTGCAATATGTTGTGGCGCATGGCATAAAAAGGGACAAGTCGTAATTAGTGTGTGACATGCCATGGCACTTGATTTTGTTTCTTGTTGCCTTGATTTTTTTTAATCTAATTTCATTGTCTTCAAATAAAAATGGTATCTCGTGCTTTTGTACTTAACTTTAATTTTAACTTGTCATTGTATATTTGAAATGACTTTGGTTTACAAACTTGGGATCCCAAAACCTAAAAAGTTTTCCAATAAATGTTTCAAATCTTTTAACCATGGTTGGGTAATTTTACAGATTAGTCTATGATTACTTGGCAGTTTTTGGCTAAGTATCAAGGTAATAAGCTAGACATTACAAACATTTCCCAACATAACACTCTTGTTACACAATTTAATTTCTAATGCCATTATTAGAGATTCTTAAAACCATACACATATTGCATATAACTTGTGTAAGGTGTGTTGATTTGGCATCTAGATAATTTTGTAATTATTACAACCAAAGGGGTACACAATTCAAAATCACCAACTAAATTACCTTTCTCCCCTCCTATTCAAATTTGCCTGAATATTATTAGCATGACTAGGGTTGAACTTGATATAAGGGGTTGAATTAGTGACCTTTACAATAATTGTAGAGTTTCATAATGATACTCCTTAAAATTCTAAACTTACATGGTAGGCTAAGCCATGGTTAAATTGCTAAGGATAAAGTCAACTTAAACATCATAAGTGTTCAGCTTGATTTAAAATAGATTTGGAAAAATAATTTATATGCCCTATTTAAGGCTTTAAATCTACCTTTCTCAGGCATTTTAGTGACAAAATAGACATAGATCTTGTAATATTCTCACTCTACTAAACCTAATTAACCATTAAAACTCATGATAATGAAAGGATTAACTCAAAGTGTGATTATCAAGGTTTAATTCAAAAGCAAGGGATCCTAAGTTTTCTAAATAATAATGAATCAATCAAAATCCTTTATATTAGAGTAAAAATAAGTTTCAGAAGCATGAGATACCTCAGAGGAGTAAAAGAAGTAAAAAACGGTTGAAAGCCAAAACATGTGATGTGATACAGGGCAATGTGTCGTGGCGTGTTGCACGAAATTCAGCAGATTTTGTTGTCATTTGACAACAGAATCGGGAAATTTCTAACGCGCCTTGATTCTCTGTCCGACATCTGAATGACATAATCTAGGTGTCTACAAAAAGCTCTTTACATGAGCTAGCTAATGGCATAGGTTTTACTTTCAAAACTAGTCACACTAGAAAGTTAGATACCTAAATGTATTTTAACCACTTTTAACACAAAATGGGTGTCCAAAACTTTTAACATGTGTCAAAAGCCTTTCTTAACACCTGGATCATGTCCATTAGACTCAAGACTACCAGCACAACACGTCACAAGTACTAAGATCTCAATATAACAAAAATTCACTCCTCAACCTCTTTTTACCAAAAATAGAGGGGGAGGTAAATTGGCATTATATTTCGCCTGAATCAATCAAAACATATTCAAATCATAATTTTTATACTTGTACTAGTATTTTAACCCTACAAACATATATATCTCAACATACATAAATACTTAGAGTTTAAAATACAAATCAAACATTTTTAACAACAAAATAGTGCAAGTGAGATGGTATGCAACCCAGAATTAGCAAATATATACTATTATACAAAATAAACTAAGTTAGAGAAATACAGAGAGTAATATGCTAATTCCTAACCTCTTTAGCTTTCTCTCTCTCGACACCACAGCTAGAGCTTGAAAAGTGTTAAATAGAAGGGGTGAGTCTAGCCACTTAGTAACCAAGGTAGAACCTACCCTATACAGTTATATTTCAATCATAAACTAAGTACATGCATAAGAAATCAAGTAAATAAAACATGCTCACACATATCATAACTCATCATTTTACATTTAGTAACTTCTTTATCTCCCATATACTAGGTATAATGTCACCATATTCTCAAATATGTGATCAAGGCTATACTCTCATGCACCGGAGGGCAACCTAAATACTATATGGATTTTTCTCTACTCCCAATCCTTAAGTAAACTCTCACCTACTGATCATGCCATATATGATATTTAATCATTTTTATACTCTCATTTTTATTTACTCTTTATCATCATAATCACATTGGGCTTGTGACCGTGTTCTACCCAAGTATGCCTCCTCATCAATTCTCAACATTATTCTTACTTATCTAAAAAGAAATCCATTTCTCATTAGCACACATCTACCTCACACAATCATCACATTTACTTTTCTAAAGGCATATGTAGGTTCATAGTTTGAAAACTATCTTGATTTCACATTGTATTTCAAACCAAAAATAACACTATGCACATTCAAATTTTCATACACCTATTGAAGCTAATACATGCTTTCATATTGAGAATCAATTCATACATGCAACATTCATGATTAGAAATAAATTTACAATCAATTAACTTATAACCACCTAAAGTAGGGTTTCCCTAGTTACCTCAAACATTTGAGAGGTCAAATGTTTACCCCTCAATATACTAGCTTCCAAGCTTGAATTTTCAATCCAATTGATAACCAAGAGCCAAACACTACAATCAATTAAGTTGAATTTCATCAACATTACCAACTCTAAGCCCTTGATCCTCTACTTTTAAAATTGCTCAGTGTTCACTTTATATGAGTTTGTGTAACATTCCAATTTAAATTTTAATAGTTAATTTGGGTTAATAGAAATTTTAAAAAATATTTAGAAGAAA